TGGATTGGAAGAACTGATACTGTCAAATGTACTGTTATACCCAAAGCAAAATACAGTTTCAGTATAATCCCCATCAATATCAACAGCTTTTTTGCACAGCACTAGAACAAATAATCCACATTGGTATGGATTCACAAAAGGTCCCAGGTAGCCAAAGCAGTCCTAAGAACAAAGCTAGAGGTGTCACAATCCCAGATTTCAAGATCTACTATAAAGCTGTAAGAAATCAAAACACTATAATACTGACACAAGAAAGATATACAATCCATGACACAGAATAGACAGCCCAGAAATAAACCCACACATATATGGTCAATTAATCTTCAACAAGAGGCAAGAATATACAGTGGAGAAAAGATAGTGTCTTCAACAACAGTGCTAGGAAAACAGGACAGCTACATGCAACAGGATGAAACTGGACTACCTTCTTACACCATACCAAAAAAATAAGTTTAAATTGGATTAAAGACCTAAATGTTAAACCTAAAACTATAAAAACAGTTAGAAGAAAACACTGGTAATCATTTCTTTGACCATCAACCTTAGCAATATCTTTCTCAACTTGTCTCTTCAGGCAAGGGAAAAAAAAAAGCAAAAACAGACTGGACTACACCAAAATAAAAAGCTATTGCACAGCAAAGGAAATCATCCACAAAATAAAAAGCAATCTACTGAATGAGATTAGATATTTGCAATGATGCATCTACTAAGGAGTTAATATTCAAAATGTATTAAGAATGTATACAGCCCACCAAAAAAAAATCCCTCCATCAAACAATCCAATTAAAAAATGGGAAGAGTACCTTCATTAATATACCTTCTTCTAAAGAAGACAAACAGATGGCCAACAGGTACATGAAATGGACCTAAACATTACTAATTAGCAGGAATATGCCATCAAAACCACAATGAGGTATTACTGTAAGAATGGCTTTAATCAAAATGACAAGAAATAAGTGTTTGCAAGGATGTAGAGATAAAGGAACCTTTATGCACTCTTGGTGGGATTGTAAAATGTAGCCACTGTGGAAAAACTATGGATGTTTCTCAAAAAGTTAAAAATACCATACAATCAGTATCCCACTACTTGGTATTTACCAAAGGAAAATTAAAACACTAATCTGAAAAAATATATGCACTCCTGTGTATTGCAGCATTTACAGCAGCCAAGATAGGGAAATAATACAGCGTGTTTTGGTAGATGAATGGACAATGCTAATGTGGCATACACACACACACAGGAATATTAATCATAAAAAAGAGTGAGATCTTGCCATTTGAGACAGCATGGATGGACCTAGAGGATATTATGCTTAGTGAACTAACTCACACATAGAAAGATAAATACCATATGATTTCACTTATATATGCAATCTAAAAAACAAAAAGCAGAAGTTAGTGGTGTTGAAATGGTGTTATATACATATAAAATGGACTATTACTCAGCCATAAAAAAGGGCGAAATCTTGCCATTTGCAAAGACATGGATAGAGCTAGAGTATTGTGCTAAGCAAAATAAATTAATCAGAGAAAGACAAATAGCATATGATTTCACTTTGTAGAATTTCACTATGTAGAATTTAAAAAACAAAACAAATGAGCAGAGAGGGAAAAAAGAGTGGCAAATCAAGAAACCAGCTCTTAACTATAAAGAACTGATGGTTACCAGGAGAGAGGTGGATAGAAGGATGGGTTAAACAGGTGATGGGGATTAAAGAGTGTGCTTGCTGTATGAGCACTGGGTGATGTATGGAAGTGCTGAATCATTATTTTGTGCACCTGAAACTAATATTACACTGTATGTTAACTGGCACTTAAATTAAAACTTTATTTTATATATTTATATATACTTATATATGTAAATTTGAAAAAAAAGATATGCATCTTTGGCATATTGATTATTCTAATCTAGTTATTTTATTAAGAAACAGTACACACAGAAAATCTCTGAAACCCAAGTTTCCCTTCCTTAGGAGGTATTTACATGTGTAAAGGAAATCTCCATTTGTAAGAGTGTCTCCCTCAGTATCAGGGAGAAGGGGATGACTCTTAAATGTCTAGACACTTACAGTGGAGAAGGCATGGACTTATTAAATCTGCTTTTTTTTTTTTTTAACTATGCTTTTTCTGGTCCTGGTAACCTCCCATAACTGACTCTCTACCTACAACATTATCTTTTGTTTTTAGATGGAGATGGTATTTAAGGTGATGGCTTCAGCTATTTTGGTGAGTTACTCAGTTTTCCTGGATCTCTTCCCTGTACACAGGAAGTATATATATTATTTAAACTTGGTTGAGTTTCTATTAATCAGTCTTATGAAAAGGTGATTTTCAGTCCAGCTGGAAAAACCTTGAAGGACAGAGGAATACATTTTCATCTTCCATACTACTAAAGCTGAGCATATGAATATATCCTGTGTTCCAGCAAATCCACTTTTAAGCACATCCCTGTGTATATATCTGTTAAAAGACAAACACAAGTATGTTCACAGCAACACTATTCACAATAAGCCCCAAACTTGAAAGAACTCAAGTATCTGGCATAGAATGAATAAACTTGTATATGCTCATATATTGGAATACTATTAAATAGTAGTAAGAATGAATTACAATTATATACAATATAAATATAAAAGATCCTCACAAAGTTGAATAAAAGAACCCAAATACAAAAGAATAATATATATTCCAATTATTTAAAATTTGAAAGAAAGGTAGAGCTAATATATAGTGTCATAGTAAAGAAGTTGGGCTGGACTATAGTATCTAAAAATGTATAGGAGAGGGCTTGTGTGATCCTGGTAACGTACGTTACTTGGTCTGGATAATGGTTACAAGGATGTGTTTACTTTGTTGGGTTTTTTTTCTTTTAATGTTTGTTTATTTTTGAGAGAGAGACAGTGTGAGCTGGGGAGGAACAGAGGGAGGAGACACAGAATCTGAAGCAAGCTCTAGGCTCTGAGCTGTTAGCACACAGCCCAACACAGGGCTCAAACTCAGGAACTACGAGATCATGACCTGAGCCACCCAGGTGCCCCAGGATATGTCTACTTTGTGAAAATTCATTGAGTTTTATATTTATGATTTGTGTGCTTTTCTGTTTGCATGCTATACTAGAATAAAAAATTTAAAAATTTTCAAATTGTTGAGATTATTATTATTCAACTTCTCCTTTGGCAACTCTTTTACTTATGTTGACAGCTACTGCATGTGATAAATTTTTTACACTCTTCCATGTAGACTGAACTACTTATACTTAAATATTCTTGATATTTTACATAATTTACCCTCTTGCATCAAAGAACACTTTTGCAAGCCAAAAACTTAATTATTTTCTTTTTTTTTCTTTAATGTTTTATTTATTTCTAGGAGAGAGAGAGAGACAGCGTGAGCAGGGGAGGGTCAGAGAGAAAGGGAGTCACAGACTGAAACAGGCTCCAGGCTCTGAGCTGGCAGTCAGCACAGAGCCCGACGCGGGGCTCGAACCCATGAACCGCGAGATCATGACCTAAGCGAAAGTCGGACGCTTAACCGACTAAGCCACCCAGGCGCCCCAAACTTAATTATTTTCTGTTTGCCGAAAAGTCTGAGGGAGCATAGTTGAATTAAGTTGACAGAATCTGAGAAAATTAGCTCTCCCCAGTGTGATGTGGGCTATATAGGAAAAGTAGATGAAAACTACAATGAAGAAATTATAGATGCTTTGTAATTACTTTTGGAATTGTGAGGGGGAGTCACCCCAGTTTTCTAGAATAAAAGTGAAGTAGAACAATCTGAGATGTTCACTTCTTTATAGTTAAGTGTTGTTACTGAATTGTATCTTTGTCAGGGGGAACTAATAGAGGTCAAAGGGTGAGGCCTGAAAAAAGGCTGAGAAGTGGGGAGGAACAGGGTTTCAAAGAAGAAAGATAATTTGCTAGAAATGACACAGGACTCAAAAGGGAACAACATCAAGTTCTTTGGCTAAGAAGTTTCAGCTGGCCACAGTAATCTAATCAAAGAGTATACAGGGCACAGGAAGCATTTTGGTGACTAGTGGAGTTTCTTTACTTTTCAGAAATTTTGTGATAATTTCTTCACATTCCTTTTTAGGCTTACTAACTTTAAATAGCTCTAAAATGCAAAAATGGCCTCCACTGTTAGAAGCTAACAGTTCTTCCTTTTGGCTGCAAACAGCATTATAAAAACAAAGATGATCAATCAGTGGAGAAGCTTGTAATAATTTGAAGCAATTTATGAAGTGGGAATATATTAAAACTTACTTGTTTCACAGGAGTTCCACAAAGAAATGAACTCTGTTACAATCCTCAGGGTCCTTTACCTAATCTAGGAATAGTAAATACCAGGAAGAATAGGAATTGGAATGTCCAGAGGTCACTACTTCCATATTGAGTCACATTACTGAGTGTTGGAAAGGAAACTTATGTTTGTATTAAAATAGTTTTTAAAACTATCATTTCTCTATATTATAAACTTTTGAATGTACCTTTAGATTAAAGTTTTGGCTTCTGATTTGTCTTCTTTGGAAGACTATACTGTAAAATGACTAGTGGCTTCTAAATTAAAACAAATCATCCATTAAGCTTAAAATCCCATGTGAAATACTTTGTATAAGACAGAATTCTTTTGATATCTCAAAATACATCTGACATGCCTATGTGTACAAATAAAGGATTATAGAAGTTTCTGTGTTGGCTAATATTAATAACAGCAGTGATGATAATAAACTCTTCCTCAAAAATCTCAGGAAAAGAACAGTGTACTTTTGACTTTTTGCCAAGTGGTGATTAGTGATTATTAACTTTTATATCAACACCATTCCAACTTATATATCCATATTGTATTATTTTCCCAGGCTTAATTCATTTTTAAAAGTCTCTTTCTTTACAAAGAGAGTAATTCAAATTAACCAGCCATGCCCTACAAACTTAAATATAAATGATAGTGAATAAGTATTGATTGAAACAAAAAGCACTTTAAAAAACAGCATTAATTCTTACCAACTCCAGATGTTATTGATTCTGCATCAATGTCACTAGCTCTTTTTCTTGCCACTTCAGCTAGTGCCAATTCACCCTTATCTAGTGCAAAGTAATGGATGTCCTTTGGAAATAAAGCAAAATAAAAGATTAATCCAAATGAATCTTGGTCAACTTACAAAGAAGACTTTGAATAAAAGAGCTTACTGTTCAGATTACAAAACACATGGCTGATGAATATTTTTTTGTGTTTTAATTCTCTCAGTTTTCTTTCCCAGGGTAAGCAAATTTTCTTGAATTATAGATTGTAACTATACCTAATAGCAGTTATTTAAATAAATTATTTTAAGTCTCCAGGGAAAAAATAAGCTTTTAAACCAAATGTTTGACATACTCAGTTTTATCAGGAAATGAAAACTTTCATTGCTATGCTTTTGGTGAGATTTTAATATCTGAGGTAACTTCTACAAAATTCTATTGTACATATTATGCTAAGCATTTTATAAGAAATACTACTACACAAATTACTCTCTGACATTTATGTGTCTGACACAACTTTGTAAACATTATTAATACAAGAATTATCTTGAACTCATTCAGTCAACAGATAATCAGTGCCTACTAAGTGTGAGGCACTGTTCTGGAATACAGAGATCAATTACAATTTCATGTCTCAGGAAGCTGTGAGCCCAGCAGGGAGACAGACCATTAGGAACAACAGTGAACTCTATAACATGTGGCAGCTTTTAAAATAGGTATTTCCTGACAGAGTCAAGAGGATGTGGAGGCTGTGGAGTCAAGAGGATGAACTGATCCTTGATCTGGGTCTTGAAGGATGTATAAGAATTCCGCTAGGAAGGAAAATAGAGAAAAGGCAACAGAATTACTATCTGGTGCATATATGTAGAGAAACTTCAAAAAGTAGTTCTCTTAGGCAATGAAATGTCTTTGAATATGGAAGGAATCTTGGATGTTTGGTAGAAAGCAGTTTAATACTAAGGTAGATATAGTCAGTAAAAAGGATTTTGAACTATTTTTGATGTGCAAAAAGATTGCTGAAATGAAGATTTTATTGCAATAAAAGTGGAAAAAGAATACAAACAGCCTGTTTACAATGAAGAAATATAAATGGCCTTTAATCATGAAAAGATGTTTCACTTTATTAATATTCAAATAGATGCAAGTTGAAAAGATATAATTTCAAATTGTTTACATTTTTAAAAGTTAAGAATATTTACTGGTTGCAGAGTAACCAGAACCATCTTCTGGAGATGATGGCAGAGTAGGAGGATCATAAGCTCACTTATACAACTAGATAACACCCACATCAGTGTAAACAACCTAGAAAATGTCAAACCCAAAGATGACAGAACAGACTCTGCAGAGGTAAATGCAGAGAAGAAGCCACATTGAAGAGAGCAGGAAAGTTGGAGATGTTGTCGGGAGCCAAATGAACTCATGGGACTATCCACAGGAGGGAGGGATGCTGCAGGCATCGAGAGGAGAATAGACAGGTCCCCACACCAGGCACCCCAGGCACAGGGGACTCACATTGGAAAGACAAATCCCCATAGCATTTGCTTTTGAAAACTAGAGGGGCCTAACTTGTAACTTGTTCTTACAAGTCAGTGGGGCTTAACACCTAGAACTGTAAAAATCCGTGGGCTCAGTTCTGGGAGAGCAGGGAGGACAAAAGACTGAGTTCCTGTTCTACAAACAGCCCCACTGAGATACAGCATAGATGCAGCAGTTTGAAAAACACCTACATATACGGGGAAATAGATTAATTTAGTAATCTCAGAGCATGTTCTGGAGGGGCAGGGATCTTTGGGAGACTTCTCCAAGAGCAAAAGAGCTTCTGAGCACCATTTCCCTCCCCTACTCCCCAACCTAAATGCACGGACACCTGCAGGATCAAGCACAGTACCAACACATTCCACCTAGCTTACTAACAGTGCACCCTGCCACAGTGCACTTCGTCAGATCTGCAACCCCCCTCAACCCTGCCAGTCGTGGCAAGTTTTCCCAGGTAGCTGCAGGTCCTCTCCCTCAGCGGATGGCAGGGGCCAGGCTGGTACCATGTGCCCTGGCCCCACAATCTAGTGCAGAATTTCCTCCAGTATAGCCTTGGCAGAAGACCATCCACAGTTGTACCACAACCCTAGCAGTGTGCTACCAGACTCCAGGCTGACAGTTTGGGATTCTCTCTCTCTTTCTCTCAGCCCCTCCTCCAATCACATGGACATTCTCGGTCTGTAGCTGTCTCTCTCTGCTTCTCAAGATAAATAAACTTTAAATTAAAAAAAGAAAACAGACTAAGGGAACCTGTCAGGAACACCATCAAACCTAATAACATTCTCATTATAGTGATCCCAGAGAAGAGAGAGAAAAGAAGGGAGAAAACTTATTTGAAGAAATAATAGCAAGAAACTCCCCAAATCTGGGAAAGGAAACAGAAATCCAGATCCAGGAGGCACAGAGATCTCTCAACAAAATTAACCCAAAGAGGTCCACACCAAGACACATAGTAATTAAAATGGCAAAAAAGCAGCAAAAGAAAAACAGTTATATAAGAGGGAAATTCTATAAGACTGAATTCTTCAGCAGAAATTTTATAGGACGGAAGGGGTGATATATTCAGAGTTCTGAAAGAAAAATTCCTGCAGCCAAGAATATCCTATCCAACATAATAATCACTCAAAATAGAAAGAGAGAATTTGAGGCACCTGAGTGGCTGAATTGGTTAAGCATCTGACTTAGACTGAGGTCATGATCTCACGGTTCGTGAATTTCAGCCCTGCACTGGGCTCTGTGCTGACAGCTCAGAGCCTGGAGTCTGTTTCAGATTCCGTGTCTCTCTCTGTCTCTGCCCTTCCCCTGCTCTGTCTCTCTCACTCTCTCTCTCTCTCTCTCTCTCTCTCTCTCAAAAATAAACATTAACTGTTTTTTAAAATAGGAGAGAATTGGGGCGCCTGGGTGGCTTAATCGGTTAAGCGTCCGATTTTCACTTAGGTCATGATCTCGCGGTTCGTGGGTTCGAGCCCCGCGTCGGGCTCTGTGCTGACTGCCAGCTCGGAGCCTGGATTTTGTTTCAGTCTGTGACTCCCTCTCTCTCTGACCCTCCCCTGCTCACGCTCTCTCTCTCTCTCTCTCTCTCTCCTAGAAATAAATAAAAATATTTTAAAAAATAAAAAAATAAAAGAAATAAAAATAAAATAAAATAGGAGAGAATTTCCCAAACAAAAATGAAAGGAATTCATCACCACTAAACCAGCCCTAAATAGATGTTAAAGGGGGCTCTGAATGGAAAGGAAATATCATAAGCAAGAATAAGAAAAGCAGGAAGCAAAAAAAAAGCAGTAAAATTAAGTATATCTATAAAAATCAGTCAAGAGCCTAAGAGAATAAAAAAGGTGTAGAGTAAGATACAATATTCATAAAATGGGGCTGGAAAAAGTAAAATTTTAGTGCTTTTAGAATGGGTTCAAACTTAACGGGCTATCAACTAAACACAGACTGCTATATACATAAGATGTTACATATAAACCTATTGGTAACCATGAATCAAACACTGGTAATAAATATGCAAAAAAATAGACAGGAATCCAAGCATATCACTAAGAAAGCCAGCAAACTGCAATAAGAGAGCAAGAGAACAAAGCAACAGAGAACTACAAAAGCGTCCATAAGACAAGTAACAAAATGCAACTTATCAATAATTACTTTGAATATAAATGGACTAAATGCTCCAATAAAAAGACATGAGTTGATGGAATGGATTAAAAAAGCAAGGGCCATTTATATGCTACAAGAAAGGACTCACTTCAGACCTAAAGACACATGCGACTGGAAGTGCAGGGATAGAAAAGTGCTTATGCAAAAGGATGTGAAAAGAAAGCTAGGGTAGTAATACTTACACATGGCAAAATGGCCTTTAGATCAAAGACTAATAAAGGAAAAAGGACACTATATAATCATAAAAGGAACAATCCAAAGAGAAGATAAAAATAACTGCAAATATTTACACATCCAACATCACAGCCCCAAATACATAAAGCAGCTAATAACAAGGGAAGTGATCAATAGTAATACAATGATAGTAGAGGATTTTTTAAAAAATTTTTTTAATGTTTTTTATTTATTTCTAGGAGAGAGAGAGAGAGAGCGTGAGCAGGGGAGGGTCAGAGAGAAAGGGAGTCACAGACTGAAACAGGCTCCAGGCTCTAAGCTGGCAGTCGGCACAGAACCCGACGCGGGGCTCGAACCCACGAACTGCAAGATCATGACCTAAGCGAAAGTCGGATGCTTAACCGACTAAGCCACCCAGGCGCCCCGATAGTAGAGGATTTTAACAACCCACTTACATCAATGGATAGATCATCCACACAGAAAATCAACAAGGAAACAGTGGCTTTCAATGCCACAATGGAATGGATGGATCTAAGAGATCTACCCAGAACACTGCATCCTAAAATAGAAAAATACACACTCATTTCAAGTGCTCATGAAACACTGTTCAGAATGGGTTCTGTTAGGCCACAAAACAAGTGTCAACAATTTCAAAAAGATCAAAGTCATACTATGCATCTTTTCTGACCATAATGCTATGAAACTATAAATCAAACCCAGGAAAACATCTGTAAAGAAGACAAATACATGGAGATTAAATAAAATGCTATTTAGTGGATTATTTAATGCTACTGAACAATGAATGAGTAAACAAAAATATCAAAGAGGAAATAAACAATTACATGGAGACAAATGAAATGAAAACACAATGTTCCAAAATCTCTGGGATGAAGCAAAAGCTGTTCTAAGAGGGAAGTTTATAGCAATAAAGGCCTAATCAAGAAGCAAAAAAAATCTTAAATAAACAACCTAAACTTATGCCTAGGAAAGCCATAGAAAGAAAAAACAAACCCCAAACCATCAGAAGGAAGGAAATAATAAAGATGAGAGCAGAAATCAATGAAATAGAAGCAAACAAACAAAAAACAGATCTATGAAACCAGGAGCTGGTTCTCTGTAAAGATTTTAAAAAAATGATAAACCTTTAGCCAGACTCATCAAAGAGAGAGAGAGAGGGAGAGAGAGAGAGAAAGAACTCAAATAAAATCATAAATG